AAACAGGGCTCGGTTTTTGACCGGTGTTTTTGACTCTGACTGAAGATCATGAGCTCGAGTTCAAGCTCGACATGAACCACTGATTGTTCTTCTCGATTTGTGTTAGTAACACGTCTATTCGTATTTTTGTTCTCTTGCTTTGTTGTCAGGTTCACTGTTTGATGTCACTGGGAGCTATTTCGCCAGTCTTCTCGTCATCGCCGCCATCTTTGTTTGCGCTTCGGCGGCATTTCTGTTCATTCCAGTGCGGAGAAAGATTCGGTCAGGTGGTTCATGTTACTCATCCGCATCACGTGATCAGCAACATGAGTTACAATATCCTGAGGGTCAATGCAATCAGGTGACAATGTAAGCTGAACATTAGTGTGTCAGAAAACTTAATTCAAAGGCAAGGAAGCGAAGCCACTGCACAGGATTTGTTTTCCCAAAATATTGTATTCAATCTTTCACAATTATTAGTCGTCATATAAGTAGCTCTGCTTATTTAATTTCACGTTGAGATGGATATAAATAAAACCTGTTTGCATTCCATGTCAATTTCATGAACAGCGCCCCCTAGAATATCGTGATGCCTGCCCCTGTTACAGGTAATTCTGTCCCCCCTGGTAAATGTGTCCTCCCCGGACACATTTACCGGATCGTGGCCCGATAAATGTGTCCGGGGGGACACTTTTACCTAGGTAAATTTGTCCCCCTCCAGGTAAAAATGTCCCCCTGCCCAACGGTGAAAGTGTCCCCCTGGTAAATGTGTCCCCATACAGTATGTAATGAGAGCAGCAGCGTGTCGCACGCGCCAGTACATGCTGCAAGATTTTAGGCAGTGATTATCACGTGTACATTATGCGTCTCCCTCTACAATGGAAATTCGTCCAATAGGAAATTTCGTTACGCGCTATGATGGGAACACAGACCAATCCAAGTAGACGTTGTATCGTACTATCAATGAGACGAGGGCCATCGCCATGCATCGCCGCTGTGTTGAACTATCGCGGTAGAATCGCGATAGACTCTTAATCCACGTATTCCGAATCGAAACATTGTGTCACGTATCATCTAATAGACTAAATTAAATATTTTTATATTCATGAAGGGCAGACTAAAAGTCCAAAATGTATACCTTAAAGAGTGAATTCATCAAAACAATAACCTTCCGGGTTAGAGGGGGACAGAATTACCTTGGGGGACAGAATTACCTGGAGGGGGACAGAATTAACAGGCCAGGGGGGACACTTTTACCTAGGTAATTCTGTCCCCCCGGACACTTTTATCGGGGGACAGAATTACCTGCCCCCCCCCCCCCTCCAATTTCCACGGCGGGCAATTTCATGATTTTGCGGTCTGGTCATTCCCCATTCCCACCACTCGTCGACACGGATTTACGCCACTGATTTTGGGCACACATCCATTATTTTAGTTTGTCTCGATCGTTTTATCGCCATGAATATTCGTGAATAGAATGGACGGTACAGTGCATCACCACGTGATGCACTCTCGTCTAATCAGGAGACAAAATTATGGGAGCGGGGATACATTTCATAATTTGGGGTAGGAAAAAAAGGAATTACAAAGATACCATGCCATCAATTCAAACTCTGGTCACTTTTTTCTGTGTTATGTTGGCCAAAACAGTCTAAGCAGTAACTTGAAGTACTTTACTTATATATATTATAAACTACCTCATTCAATGAATATACATGTATGTGCCGCCTTTAAAGCGCAGGTTGGTATGATAATTGTACATGCACATGTATCGGCTACACTAAAAGTCACGACGAAGCATATTCACTTTCTCTACTTATTGACAACACGAAAAATAAAACAGATGCATGTTCAGCTCAGAAAAAGTCTTGATCGTTTTTCTAATCTGACGGCGGTGCTAATTACGCATATTATACTCAGACACGGAAACTTAAGTCTGGCCACTTGTTTTGGGCTTTATATTTATCAGATCCTTCTTCAAAATACAATAAGACGTGACCTGCCTATGCTGATTGATGTTGCGGGGAATCGAGCTATCCATCCATTTATAAGAATGTCAATCTGCTGTAATATTGCAAGAGTCACTCGTTCACCGCACACAATAGTTAGGCCGCCATGTACGTTTGTTTGCGTTATGCCACGCTTTGATGTTCAAGATGGCGTACCCTTGATAAAGGTCTTTTGACTTATACAATTGCTAATACAAACAGCTTCACGGGCGGATCCAGCATTCAGGAAACATGGGGGTAATGTTAAGGGGATGTGTGAGGAGGTTGTGACTGCTGGGGGTCCGGGGCATGCCCCCCCCCCCCCCTCCGCCCTGAAAATTGTGAAATCTACGATGCTTTCCACGCCATTCTATAACACTATTTGAGAATATAGGAACTTTAGAATTCCTTTTATTTTCTTTGGGCCCATTTTACTGGTATCATAAATAAATCAGAAGTTCAGGGGCTGCATCCACCCCCAGATTTGGGCTTGATATAAAATAAATAGAGCGAGTGTTTCTCAAATGCTTTTTTCCGAATTACAAAATTTCAGGATAATAATTTCTCCCATACTAATTCTCTGTAGACCCAGTGACACATTAACTGCTGATACTGCTCTTCACTGGAACTTGAGTCTCGACATAGTGCATAAGAAACTGCATACACAACCAAAGTACAAATTTCTTGGGTCACGATTCCACTATTATTCCAACTGTTTTTCAACATTCCAGTCAAAACTACTTCTTTCTGGGGATGTAAACCCTAACCCAGGGCCAGTTACGCATGACTATCCCCAGGAAAATCTTGAAGGTAGTCATTGCTCAGAAACTGCTAGCAATCGTTTGGTTTATGACAGATCCTTTCTTTTGCGAGTCCAGCAGGAGAATGTTTACTTACAGTCAGCTCAGAAGCTGCCTGATGTCATATGGACAAACATTAAATCCCTTGGATTGTCACGAAAACACAGGTCCCACAGAGGTAAGCGTGCTGGGAAAAGGAAGCAACGCCAAATTCAGGTTGTGTCATCTTGCCGTGTTATGGTCACAGAGCCAACCAACTGCGCGGCGTCAATCATGAAAACCTACGATACATCCCAAAACAGGACCACAACACAAATGAACTCAATTCCAGAATTTGTGTTTGGAATGCCCACTCCCTCAGGAACAAGTCATGTTCCACATGTGACTACATTGTAGAACATGGCATAGACATCATTGCAATCACTGAGAGTTGGCTGTACGAAAATGATCCCGTTGTCATAGGTGAGTGCACTCCTCCTGGATACACTTTCCTCAGTGCAGCGAAGGAGTGGAATAGTCTGCCCTTTTCCATTCAAAATGCCAAATCTCTCGAGCAATTCAAGAAGCTGATCAAGACCAATTTATTCCACCAATAATCAATTCATTGTCTATGCTACCTGTTTTTATTATTTAACTTAAATTATTTATTTACTTTAATTGTTCATTATTTGTAAGCGCTGTGATTTAGTTTACTAAAAAGAGCGTTCTTAAATGCCGATTATTATAGGTTTTCCCGGCCAATTTCACCAAGTTTTCATTCAATTTACCGCCTGGCTCATTCGATTTAGATTGAAATTGAAAGATCACGAAGATCGGCATTCGGCAATCAAAAAGAATCATTCTATTTCACTATCCGAGCATTCTATCGCCTTTTATCTTCACTCGTCTCTATCAAAGATGCATTCATATTAAAAGTATCGCGTTGTTCATTCAATTTCGTCATAACCAGCAGTAAGGGTTGATCGAGCATTCATGTTCATTAATGGGCAAACATATTTCACATTTTGTCAAACATCTTTTAAGACTGCATACGTGTCCGTATTCCTTAGCGTAACTCATATTTGATGTCTTCAATCCGTAGATGCCTTTTTTTCTTAATTAAAGGGTATGTGCAATGAATTGTTCTCAGGTATTCTTTCTGTGCAACTTTTATGTAAAAAAACTACACATTTGACAACATTTTTTCGTAAATCTTTTTGCAAAAGTGCACTTCTTTAAACATTTCAAAGTTTCCATGCTTTTTCGGACTACCTATGAGCGCGCTGTCACTGTGATGTCATTTCAGGGAGACACTGTTCATTTTAGGGGTTTTTCTTTCAAATTTTTCATCCAAAACTTGCTAATTGAAAACATTCGTGTGAAAGCATGCATTAGCATAAAAATGGAGAGGGCAAAAAAAACACCCTTCAAAATGGAAAATAAAACTTGTGATTAAGGTTAAATGTTACACACAGATGTATTTTCAAGGTTTGCGTTGAAAACTTACTTTTGCATGGGCCCTTTGAATACGGTAAGTGTTCGGTCAGACATACGCAAGAAAACATAAATAACGCAAGAGAAGTGTTCCCGATGGTTGCCAAACACACGTGTCCCGATGTCTTGCACGTCAAAAAAGTGCCAACGTAAAGATACCCCTTGATCAAACGTTTAAACAAGTAGACAAGATCAAAAGTGAAAAATAAATTATCTTAGTCACTTTCAATTAATTATTTTGTTACATCCTGTTTCCCTCATATCAGTTAATTTGTAACATTGTAAATTTTACAGTCATCAAGAATTTATTATTTTTTTGGGGGGGGGGGATGAACCTTGGAGGAAAATGAGAAAACATATCGATTAAAACATCTTATTAATTTGAATGGCCATACGATGAAAGCGATTGCCCATAAACGAATAAGAAACGAAAGGCACGGTTATACGTTATAAGCTTATTTGAATGCGTCAACCGTCAAAAGGTTACAAAGACTTAATTTAAGACTGCTACAAATTAAGTGTTGAATGCACCAAAACGAAATAGCATGCCCAAAAATGAACACGAACATTCAGAGCAAATCTTGGCTGCCTAAAAATGAAATTGAATGAACCCAAAATGAAAAAGAAACCCAAATTTGACCACATGTGCAAAACTCACGTGAAATTGAATGGCTGATAATGAAACTGATTAGAAAAATTCGGAAATTCGCCGGGAAAACCTATATTATTATTATTATTATTAGACACACCGTACCTTCTAGCAACTTACACATAATAATTCTTCATTTTTTTATAACGAGCAAATTTCTTTCTTAAATTCGTACATACAATTTCTCTTATTCGTTTTCATGTGCTAAATTTATTTTTAACTCCTTCAAGTACACAGGAAAAAGCAACCTTGCTGTACGACTGTCCAGATTTCCCTGGAGATTTGCCTTTCTTTTTTAAAGTGTACTCCCAGGGTTTGTTTTCACTCTATAAAAGTCTTACCAATCAGCTAATTATCTACACGTACACCTTGACTAACGATTTCACCAGTATGCATTTTAAGAGCATCAGAAATATAGATTCACAAATTTTAAGAAAAAAAAGCTAATAATATTCATCAAATTTCATCCAAACTACCAAATAATTTTGAGTAGAGCCGGTATTTACAAGCATGAATATTTTCGTTTTGTTCTACGACAGAGCTACCTTTTGACGTTGAAATCATTTCACTCACTCGTCGGCAATGTAATGAGTCTGACTTAATAGCAGCCAATCACTTCAAACCTCATGCTGCAATATGCGTGCCAAGCAGTGGGGTGAATGCGCAGGATTCTGGTGCGCAAGGTAAACGGCAGGCGAGTAGTTACCAGGGTGTTCCTGTCCTTGTTACCAGGGAACTGTTCAAAAAAGAAGAATGGTGTGTTCAGGTTGTTGACATTCGAATGGATTCATTATGTCCCGTGGCATATCCAGAGGGGGGGGGGGGGGCAGGGGCACCGTGCCCCCCCCCCCCCTGAGGATTTTTTGAAAAAAAATTTTGCTCAGTAAGTATGTTTAGAGAGTTCTGACATCAACCCCAAAAAAGAAAACCAGCTAAAAAAAAAGGCATTACAAGGCGCTGTGAAAATCGGCACATATTTTCCAGTATGCATAATAAAGGTTTTGAAGAGCGCCCTCATTGGGAAGATGGTCCTCCCCCACCACTTTTTGATTTTACGGAGGCCAAGTGTCGGAAGAAAAAAAAACATGTCTACATTTCGCCGTGGATGTGCGGTTCCCCCCTCCCCCCCCCCCCCCCCCCCCCCACACACACACCCACATAATGAGCTGGATGCGCCACTGATTATGTCGTTACATAGTCAGCAAATCAACTTTTGACATTTTGATACCTTTAAACATTTCTATTAGTCATAAAGCTTAGACCCAAGTTTTGGACAAGATCGTGACCGACTGGTTCATACCACCAAATTTGGCAGATAGATTGTTATAGCCCTAGAGTAAAAATTTAAGAAGGGAAGGGTGCCTAATTTGCATAAATCGTTAATCCCTACAGTGTAATATATTTTTCCAACTTTTAATTTTTTGAAAAGTATTTTTTTTTTTTTTTTTTGAAAAGTATATTTTTGGGATTTTACTTACACATCCTTACTTCAATAACATTTGCAAAAGCATTTAAGACTGACTGAATAATAATATGAGGACATTGTAACGATCCTAAATGACTACTTTTATACTCAAAAGTTGCACTCATTAACGCTTTAATATGCAAATTAGGCACTCTTCCCAAAAGAATTTCAGGTGTCACCCCTTCTAAATTTTCTTCTTTAGCGCTATAATAATCTATCTGCCAAGTTTGGTGCTTTGAACCAGTCGGTCACGATTCCAACCGTATGCAACCTGACTATATACCTTTATTGGTGTGCCGTCTGCATCAGTCACGTTATTCCAGGACTGACCATCTTCGCTGTACGTCACTTGGTACTCCGTCACCCATTGGTCGCATGGGCTGTCTCCACGCCCCTGGGTGATCAGACCAGTGATGGTGACTGTGCCATCGAAGTCAACCTGTATCCACGGACTGATGTTATCAGTAGTTTCATCGTTACACCATGCTGCAGCGAATCCTGTACAACAACAAAAAACCTAAGATTTCTTACTGCATTCAACGATTTAGCCATGCTGCAGGAATCTGGCTCAAATTTGGACTCCGAGGTATGTTTAACAATCTTTGCCAATAATCTTTGTCTGACCCAACCCTAGATGACTAAGTTGACTAGCGTATCGTCCACGGGCGTTGTTGGCCATTTTGAAAGGGGGGGGGTGTCATCATGAAATGTGCCGACGGACCGTCACACAAAATAATTGATAATTTCCGCCCCAAAAGACCCCTTAATTAAATCCATTTCTAATTCCCCCACATCATGTATTATAATGGTTTATTATGTTGATTGCTCTGAATGGAATAAATTTTCAGTTATGTTTAAAGAGTTCCTCTGACATCAATCCCACTAAGGCCAAAACAAAAAGTCTCCGGTTTCTGGTATGCGCGCGCGTCGCCGTAGCCATGCGCGTCGGCAAAATGAAAAAGGGTTTTTTTCAATGAAAGATGATGTCTCAAAATCTCCAAACTCACTGGTTTGACAGGAATCCTGCTGCTGCACAATTTTAACGTGTTTTTAGATGGGGTTATGATCGAGAATAAGCTTTATGTGGCCTCTCTGGTCTCCCATAATATCGCCGCACCACTTTTTGGGCAAGCTCCATACCAGAAACCGGAGACTTTTTTTTGGCCTAAAGAAAACCCATTCAACAACCATTAAAATGAGCCGTGAAAATCTTCATTTGATATGTAGTATGCATAATAATGGTCACTTTTGAAGAGTGCCCCCATTTGGAAGATGGATACCAGTGATGTAGTGCCTTGATGCTAAGCCTTGGCCTTAAGGCTGCCTTAAGGCTGGATTTTAGGGCCTTGGCCTTGGCCTCGAGGCTTGAGGGCAAAAGCCTTGGCCTTGGCCTTGGCCTTGAGGGTTCAGGGCCTTGCAATTTTGAGTCAAGGCTCTTTAAGGCCCATAGATTTTTGCATTTTCCAGATAAATCTGTTCGAAATTTTGCTGTTACCATTTTAATCATATTACCATGGAGGAGGGAAGCACCCTATAGATTTGTGTGTTGGGCACACTTCCACTTTTGTAGCATCACATTTTGTTACCATTGTAGTAGATTTGATGCAACAATATTCCGTACACTTGTGGGGCTAATGAGATGATCACTTTAATTGCATATAACTATGGAATAGATCTGATTGGTTGTATAGGCCTACATGTATGTCTCCCTGATAAGTGCTAAAGATTTGCATGTATCTGTTTTAGATAATGCTGATATTTCTGAGCATGCTGGGCCAGCAAATAAAAATTTCCCAAATTAGTTTCTTGGATCCCCTTTTGTTTCACTGGGGAGAATTGTGTGTCAATATAGAAGTAAATCATTATTTTGTTTAGTTAACCATATTGAAGACCTGAACTTATACTTTAATAGATACAGTGCAGTCATAAAACGGTGTAGGCATATGCGAGCATGTTGATTGCAATTGAAAAAATGTTGTTCTTCGTAACGAGCAATTCGTGATGATAAGGGCAGATCCAGGGGGACCAAAAGGGGCCATGCCCCCCCCCCCAAAAAAACCCAACGAAACCATTTTTTTTTATGTGACGTCGTAATAAAGGCAGGCAATGAGTACACCACCATCTTTTCCTAAAAAAACAACAGTTAAAATGGTCAGAAATTGCCTCAAATCGCACCACAGAACATCTCGAATCCAAAAATTTTTCGGAGCCCTTAAGCGGGCCCCGAAGCCCAAGCCGTAATTTTTTGACCCACCTTTTTTTTGGGGGGGACCAACATTTCTTTGCCCCCCCCACATTGTGTTCTGGATCCGCCCTTGCGTGATGATGTGTCACTCATGTAACTGTAATTAGTTCTATATCATAATTAGGTCATTTCGTAAAACAGGGCCTTGGCCTTGGCCTTGGCCTTGAGGGTTAAGCCTTGGCCTTGGCCTCGACGCTTGAGGGTTAAAGCCTTGGCCTTGGCCTTGGCCTTGAGGGTCAAAGCCTTGGCCTTGGCCTTGGCCTTGAGGGTCGAAGCCTTTGCTCCAACACTGATGGATACCAGACCCAACACCCCCCCCCCCCCACCCGCTTTTTGATTTTACGGAGGGCAAGTGTCCGAAGAAAAAAAAAGGCTACATTTCGGCGCTGATGTGCAGTTGCCCCCCCCCCCCGAAATCAAAAGCCGGATACGATGCTGGTGTGTACACGCCCACGTAGGCATACCTTGTGCAGGCCCGTTCCCTGATCCCAGCGGGGGGGGGGGTCTTTATAGCTATAGTCCATCATTTGCAGCTATCCAAAAAGTGACTGACTTAATTATTGTTGAAAAAACATACTTGGTTGAAAGATTGCAAGGGGACTACACTCCCTGTGAAAATATTCTTTCTGGCAAGCTGTCATTTTGAAGGAATCAACGAAGGAATGCCTTTCATACGGTGCGTTTTAAGAAGCACCGTTAGAAATGTCCGTAGTAGTTCGTTTTTTTTAATCAGCGAAGCGCGCGCAAGCGTTGACACGATGCACACGCGCACGCCGTTGCTATAATTCGTCGGATCAGTGCGCGACTTCGCGTAGCTGCAATCGGCTCAGTGAAAACGTGTCTCGCCGGATGCTGAATTCAGGCCCATTCAAAACATGATTCAGCAACTTTTGATTTGAAATCAAGATCCTAGAATGCTGTTCTTCTCGAAATATACAGCTGAGCAGAAACTTCATCACCTTTCTTTAGATTTTGAACACTTTTGTGGCTTCAAACGAACAAAATGCACAAATTACAAATGATGGAATATACCTTAAATCCTAAAGTGAATTTCTGTTATATGCGAGCGGAGAGCGCGAAGCCCTGAAGGCGTGGGGTCCGGGGCCCACCTAAAAGTTCTGGATTGTGTGCTCTGTGGTGCAATCTGAAGCATTTCCTAGCCACTTTCCCCTGACTCTTTTATGTGTGCGGGGGTCCAGGGCCAGCCTAAAAGGTCTGGATTTTATGTTTTTTGGTGCAATCTGAAGCATTTCCTGGCCACTTTCCGCTGACTTTTTTTTAATGTACTGGCTCGTGTTTAGGGAGATGGGGGGGGGGGTCATCAAAGTTGATGTATTACATCACAAACATTACATCAAACTGAAGCTCTACACTCTTTCGAGTTTTGCCTTCTTTAACTTTAGCTTGATCCATCATGGTTTTGAGTCGTCACTTAGCCGTAGCTGTCCACCACCATATTATATGAAGCGAGCTCGCGCGGCAGCTCGTGCCGACATGACAGTCTTGACACAGTGTACAATTTTTTTTTGCCAAGGAATTCAGAACCGGATGTTCGCTTCGCAGGGTTTTGAGCAACAGTGTCTATTATTTACATTCTCAATATTTTTTCTCCTCTCTTTCTTTTCCTTCTTTCTCTGTTCTTCATTTTTTTTGCCGACAGCGCCATGATTTTACCGACGAAAATGACTAATTGGGGTTGTGACGCCCCCCTCCCCCCCCCCCCCCTGCAGCGACGCCCATGGTATCGTCGGCTGTTCAGGACCGCCTTGGTGGTTGGTCGCATTGCTGGTTACGCGTACGATAGCTGCACGCATCACAATGCGCAGCAGGGAGCCGTGACCCATATAATTTCCTGATGACATTTTGACATTTAAAACTGGTTGTTTTCGTGTGATTCTTGCGTGAACCATGCGACAACTAATTTTGGGTGTCAAAATTGTGAGTCTCAAAAATCGAGCTGTTGAGAGCTAGTTGTGAATCCGGCATGGCACAGTGTATTGCATAATGTGGACGTGCGACAAACAACATTTGTGTTGGTGCTGTGTGTATTATGTGATGCACACACGACGTGTACTGTACATTGAATGGAAACGGCGGGAAATACGTATATGTGTGCCACAAAAGTCCACCGCGTGCGATATTTGAAATAGTATAAAGAAACAACCCTAACAACATAATAATTTCGTGAATTTCAGGCCGAATATTACCCCTTGGCTAAATGGGCCAGTACCCGATTTAACTAAACGATGCGACGCGTCGCAACTCAAGTTTCGACGTGTAACACGTCGCAACTGGCGATGCGTCGTATCATCCATTAAACGAAACTTGCGATGTGTTGAAGGCGTTGTATTCAAGTGGTCATTGCCAAATAAGAAGAGTCCTTTTCTGAGCCAGTTTTATGCCTTAATCATCACATAAACAAGATTATAATACCGAGGCAGTGTGTGTAAAGTTGTAAATAGAAAATTCATTGAATAATTATGAAATAACCTTGAATATTGCAGTTATAACTTCAAAGTAGCTATACCCTCCACTGAGAGCTTGTTTTCCTTTAAAATTGCATCACACGGCCGCCATTTTATTTGACGTTTTAACAAATTTTGGGCGGAGATCCGAAAACTGATTGTTGAATATCAGATGACTATTTACTGTGAGCTGATTAAAGACATAAAATGATCACCGAGTTGTGCTATAAATACACCTACGACGTGTTTTGTGAAATGGATCGCCGGATGCATCGCAGCTGTGACGCATCGTAGAAATACAACGCATCGCAGCGCTGTGATACATCATAAGTTTATACGAAGAATTTGATGAAATCGGGTGCAGGTTATTTTGACCATCTCTCAGGGGAGGGGGGGAGGGGTAGATTCCGTCCCCCCTTAGATGTCGGCCATCAAGTGGCAAAACATTTTGAAACTCGGTACATGCATAGAACAACTTATCATGAACATATCCAAGAAATTTCATAACTAAAGGTTAAAGGGTTTTGGAATTCTGGCTAATTAATTATTCATATATGCACGAATGGTAATTCTGCTCTGCATACACTACGTTTATGGGGAAATTCAGTTTTCAGTATCACTAAAATTTGTTATGATTTTGGTAATCAAAAGATGCGCAAGCCTCGAGGCTAAAAATTCACAACAGCTCGGGTCGCAAACCTTTTTTTTTTCAAGGCTATCGCAAAAAAAGTTGAGGGGGGGGGGGTTGTGGATTCCGCCCCGGCCCCTTTAGGGTTAAACAACTGTATTTTCTTTTAAATGACTGTACGAAGTATAACGTGGTTAGTCTGAAATACAAATGCTTACCTTGAGTATTCAGTCTGGCCCTGACTGGGCCACAAACAGCTCGGTTTGTTTGCCAAATAGACGAAGCTGTGATGCTTTCATTCGAGATGCGACCATCTTCCATCCCGAGAGGTCCCCCCACAGAGCAAGAAACGTCATCTGAGGAAAAATGTGCGATTGTTTCGAGAACAGGTTTTGTACAAAATCTCATTTTATTAACAAAAAGAAGGATTATGGGTCTTTTCTGCAACCCAGAGTCTCTAGCAACAAAATGATCTTAGGATGCTAAGATGAGCGCTTGCAACGTCAATTAACATATGAAAGGTCGCCCTCTATCTTGCCCGCCCTTACAGGGACGCATTTGAGTCCCCCCATTTGCATGTCGCCGCCGCGCTATTATCGATCGGCACTACTGATGGTGGGTGCATCCATGATCGCAGAACAAAATTGAATGAATAGCACACGATTAACTTCAAAATTATGAATTTTAGTCCATACTTAGTTTGATTTCTCATATCATATTTGTGGTGTGATTGTTTTACTTCAAGAAGCTATGTCGATAAATAAAGAAAAACATCCCGGACATGTCAAAAATACTATTTTATGCACGAAATTTGGGTAGGACAAAAGTCAGAGAAAACGGTAATGTCGGACCACACACTACAGCGATATCAACATCGTGCATGAGCTGCCACGCTGGTCATTAGTCTGCTTGCGCTAATTAAAAAGCGTTTACATGTTCCAGATACATGACCATCACTCCCTCAGTCTGGCTGCCAGACACACAATTACAAAATTACAACAACGTCTGCATATGGTGCCCGACTAAATTTAGTACAAAATGTAAGGGAGCCCAGAGAGGCCCGTAAAGCTTATACATGATTGTAACCTCATGTCTGCCTCGTCTCCTTCCTAAATGTCAATTCGTTTGCATGAGTCGAGAAGACTTCTGTTCCATTATTCGTTATATGCTGTTTACGGCCATCACAATAAACGATTAAAATATTGGCAATATGTCCTACTTGTAAGTCACTAAAATATTCAAGTAAATCGCCCGGCAAAGTAGCCGATGCGGGCGATACGCTGGCACGGTACAAAACACAGAGAGGCGTGCGCACTGAGCCATGAATCCTAAAAGTACATCTCGCCCACCACATTCAGTTTGTGACAGCGCCCTTCTATTGTGTCGGCCATATTCTCAAATAGGCTAATGACGATGATGACGGCGGGCAGATTAACAGAAGGTAGATCAGGCAAATATGGTTCATCAATCTTCTATAGTATATGTAAAGGTATTGACATTAAACAAAAATAAAGTGGCATTACATTTCAGCCTTAGCCAGGCCTTCTTCAGAGGTAAAATGACAGAGGAACAAGAAACAAACATGTAGGGGACACACAAACATGCAGGGTTGGAAGGAGAATCACAAAGAGGGATGGGGGGGGGGCGACCAATCCATATCTTGCTACCACCTCTCTAAATTTTGGGGCTACATGTACAAGTTTATATTCCATTACTGAAATTAAAAAAAAAAAAAATCAATATTTTCTTGCTCCAATTGTTTTTGGAATCAGGTTTACAAGGAGGTCCAATGTAAAGTTAAAGTTGCACTTAAATATCTGTTAGTAGTCATTGCTGAAACCAAGGGGTGGTTGTGGAGTTTAGGGTCCGAGTTCCTATAACAGATGAAACATCCACCTTTAACTTTTTACTTTTGTCAAGTTTCAACATTGCAAAAAACTAGTACAAGTTATCATACTCCTAAGTTAGAGTTTCTTCATCAGATTTACACTTTATAGTAGTTTAACAATATTTTTAAAAAGATATTTAACCGTACACCGGCAAAGGGTAAATTTAAATTCTGTTAACCATAATTTTGTTTTTAATCCAACTTGTCGCAAGAGGGCCGGCACTGGCCCGATTCAGGCTTTGTATTGTGCTACCATTAAGGTTTGCCAGCACTGGACCAGCTCTGGACATGCAATGACATGTTGGCCACATTAGGCAGGTGGCCTCAATACAGTGTTTAGCCATATACAGGTGAATTAATTGTAATCTTTGAAAGCATTTAATGTTGGGATGCCGTAGAGGACATCAAGCAAGTGTTTTATGGAGTAAAATAAAGTTTGTTGTTATTGTTTGATGTAAAAAGATCAGATTTGAGCCTCCATCAGTGATGTCATGGAACAAGCCCCAAATTCCACATTAAGCTACCACCTACAAAAGTCTATCATACTTTTCTGATATTTTTTACATATGTAGGAAAAACAAATCATAGTGGCGATTAGTCCCTTGAGATGGTACCAATATGTGAAATTTCAGCCCCTGGCTCCGATGGACTAGTGTTGATTTCGATTTGTACATTGACGCTGTAGCTCAATCAGACGAAGTGTTTCAAGTATTGTGATTATCATGTTTTACTCAAGCGCCCGTTAATGAATGCAAATCTCGTGTCTGTAAAAGGGTTGATAATTGTTCCAAATGTGCATATTACAACTCGCGACACAAAGGTCAGGTCATCCACACCAGATGCGAGATGTGAGATGGCAGATGGGGAACACCTTAGTAGCGCGAATTTCACTTTAATAGTGCGCCTAGGCTCGTTTGAACGAGAGACTAATAAGTCATTCATAAGATATAAGTCGTTTACAAACCAGATAAAAAAGTCGTTTAAACAAGGTAAAATCTGTCGTTTAAAGCAGATAAATAAGTCATTTAAACGAAATAATTAATCGTTTAAACAAGATAATAAGTCGTTTAACCGAGATAATAAGCAGTTTAATTGAGATATTAAGTCGTTTAAACGAGATACTATGTCGTTTGTTTGTTTGTTGGGGTGTTGGGGCGTTTGTTTGTTTGTTTGGCAGCAATACCGGTACGCTCTACAAAAACGCAAAGCCAGGCCATGTTTTTTTTTTTGTAAATTTGCACGCTAGCGGTTTGGCGCAAAAGTCGGCCGCGCAATGATATGAAACAAGCCAAATGCGCGTCAGTATCAGATTATTATTTTCTGAGACCGGCATTTTTTAAAGGGATATTTCGTTCTCGAATGCGCCAAGTTGGGCAACAAAATTGGAAAGAGCATTTAAAAAAGGATATAAATATCGACACCATAACCATCCTTTAAGAGACAAAAGTTTGACTTTCAAAAATCGAGCTGTTGGCTGCTAGTCTTGAATTCTGCCGCACTTGTCTTACCAGTGCATCGTATTTTGCGGACGCGCGAGAAACAATATTTGCGCCGTGTGTATTATGTGCCACACACGCGCAACGAGTACCGTACATTGAATGGTCACGGCTCAGTGAAATGTCCGCCGCGTCCGATCCACGCGATGTAAACGACCGTCCCCCACCCCGTCTTTCTTTCTTTGGAACGGTAAGACATTAGAATAGTTTCCTTTCAACCAGACCTTTGAAATAGGATAAGTATTAATCAATCCAAAACATGACATTTGCGGGGATTTCAGGCCGCAATTCCCATTAAAAACGCTAAAATCCACGAATACACGAGAAAGTTGCATGCCTTATTTCAATAATTATGACTCGCCAGGGGGACTTTAATAGTTCTGATTGATTGATTGATTGATTGATTTGGTTGATTGCCATTTATATACAGTGGCATACAATAGAAGGTGTCGTGGTTTTTGTGCTCAAAATATTAAAATACATTCAACTTTACATTACAAACATTAAACTATACCACATAATTTAAGTTAATTCCCCCTTGAAATATCTCCCTATAAAAGTATTAGTCATTAACAAGACAAACGAATTATTACACTGTAATGTAACAAGTGCTTTGACTAGCCCGCCGCTGTATTTACTCGCATTTGGCTAGCGGGCTACCACTAAGCTCGAACCATTAATATGCCTACTTGGCAATCTCCCCTCCCTCCCCCCCCCCCCCCGGAGATTCGTCTGTCGACGCAGCTGTGCCCTCCAAATCCTGACTAGAAATCGCCGCCATTGGTGCGTATCCGATGGGTTACCCCAAGGGTTACCAAAACTCTGTGATGAAAAAACATAAGTTCATGGAGTAATCCGCTTTCAGGGTTTTTTTTATGTTGGCTCTGCTTTTCAGTGAACTACACAATTGAAATGTCATGGATAATTTGACTTAATTTATTTATTTTTATCGATGCCTAATTGACATTTGGGCAAGAAGACGAGGTAGAAGGCTAGCAATTAATGGTTGTGCCTCTTTTGTGTATTCTCCCGGAGTAACTGCATCATAAATGAACGAGTCTTACTTTATGATTAAATTGACGAGAGGATAAAATATTACCAGAAAGGCATTGGCAATGTTACGGTCTAAGAAACTATAGGTTTTCCCGGCTATTTAAAAACATTTTCATTCAATTTCATCAACTCTAACATTCAATTTCGTCTGAGAAAAATTTCACATGCTTAAAGAAAACCACTTAAATTAGTCATTTACCATTCAATTTCAAAGTTTGGTCACCCTCTTTAGTCACTGGGTCGAGAATATTCGACATTACAGGTCAAATTCATCTAAGCTGTTTCCGAATGGTAGCATTCAGAGATCGAATTCGTCTTATATAAATCAATTAGACGAATTTGATTCTGAATAACAAGCTAAGGTTTTGCGTAGACGAGACGAGATCGAATACTCCGGGACGAAAACGTGTAATCATTGTTTGAATTTGCTTGTATGAACTGAATTTGAAATTGTCTGACAAAAGACAAAATTAAACATTGGAAGTGCACTAAATGGATGTTGATGGACGAGTTTGAATATAGGTTTTCCCAGCGAATTTCCGAATTTTTCTAATCAGTTTCATTATCAGCCATTCAATTTCGCGCGAGTTTTGCACACCTGGTCCAATTGGGGTTTCTTTTTTATTTGGGGTTCATTCAATTTCATTTTTAGACAGCCAAGATTTTGCTGTGAATGTTCGTTTTCGTTTTGGGGCAGCCTATTTCGCTTTGGTGCATTCAAGACTTAACTTGTAGCAGTCTTAAATTAAGTCTTTGCAACCTTTTGACGGTTGACGCATTCAAATTAGCGAACATCTGTGCGCTTATAACGTATAACCATGCCAGTTTTCGTTTCTTATTCGTTTATGGGCAATCGCTTTCATCGTTTGGTCATTTAAATTAAT